TATGAATGTTATATTGCATGTACAATGATAAGTTTTAACTTAGGTTGCCATGACAATTAAAGTTACATTTCTGTCCCACCACAACTTTCTGACTAAAGTTATCATTCCGTATCAGTAGCAACTGCTCCACTAAATTTTTGCCAAGTCAGTATTCCTTATCCTCCAACCTAACTTTTCCACCAAAGTTAACATTTCTTATACTTATACCCCCCCCCCCACCCCCCCCCCCCCCCAATGTTTCGACTAAAGTCAACATTTCTTATTCACTTCAACTTTCTATTAAAGTCAACATTTTACTTACGCGAACTATTTTACTAAAGTTAACATTTTATTTAACCTAACTATTTTACCAAAGTTAACATTTTATTTAACCTATTTTACTAAAATTAACATTTTATTTACCCTAACTATTTTACCAAAGTTGACATTTTATTCACCCTAACTATTTTACCAAAGTTAACATTTATTTACCCTAAATATTTTACCAAAGTTAACATTTTATTTACCCTAACTATTTTACCAAAGTTAACATTTTATTTACCCTAACTATTTTACCAAAGTTAACATTTTATTTACCCTAACTATTTTACCAAAGTTAACATTTTATTTACCCTAACTATTTTACCAAAGTTAACATTTTATTCACTCTAACTATTTTACCAAAGTTAACATTTCCTATCCCCTAAGCTTAACCCAGAAAAACTCTTGAATCTTGTACAGGCTATTTCTCCGCCTTATTTCTCCACACAATCCCCACCCTCGCGTCTCCCCCCCCCCCCCCCCCCCCCCGCACCTCTGTGTATCGATCAATTTCGAGAAGAACAACAAATAATAAAAGCCTTCTATTTTCATCGAACAGCCGGGGGGGAGAGGAATAAAATTGAAGAGAAATCAAATTCCAGGCGAACGTTAAAGGAGACGAAAGTTCACAAAAATGATGGTTGTCGCTGAACTTGATGAATGGATGTAGACTTGATGGTAGGGTGTATACTTGATGGTAGGGTGTAAACTTGATGGATAAATATAAACATGATGGATGGATGTAAACTAGATGATTGTGTGTAAAGGATGTATGAATGTAAATTTGATGTATTGATGTATACTGAGTGAATGAACGTAAATTTGATGCAGTCAGTAAACAATGGGGATCTCGGTAATTTTGATAGATTTGTGAAGACTTGATTTTTGTTGGTAAATTTTAAGTTTGTGGGTAAAACTGATAGCTGTTTGTAAACATGATGGATGAATGTAAAGTTGGACGGAAACTCAATGGATATGTGTAAACTTGATAATTGTCTCATTTTTGTAAATTGGATTGTGTAAACTTAATTAATACTTAACATGATGAATGTTGGTCAACTTGATAGAAGCAAAAATTATTATTATTCGTGAAATTGAAGCATGTTTTATAATGGAGCAATGTGGGGTGGTTTAATAAAGCCTTTATATGTCTGGGGTGGTTTAATAAAGACTTTATATGTCAATGTGGGGTGGTTTAATAAAGCCTTTATATGTCGATGTGGGGTGGTTTAATAAAGCCTTTATATATCGATGTGGGGTGGTTTAATAAATCCTTTATATGTCAATGTGGGGTGGTTTAATAAAGCCTTTAGAAGAGTAGCTGTCCTCAGCTAACGAGCCTCATCTGCCCGAGGGTTAGAACTCGAGACTTTTCGGTTTAGCAACCATGAGCTTTACCGACTCGACCACGCCGATCCCATACCCCAGAGGATTACATTAGGACGTTAAGAAAACAAAAAGCGGCTGGTCATAAACTCTGTACCCTTAATTCGCCGAGGTCACAGAAACAGATCAACGAGTAAATTTGTTATACCTTTCTGCTGGGTAAGGTGCGATATTTTGTCTCATTGTATAGGCTACGCAAGTTTTTTTTCATCCCAGACACGTAATTTACAGCGTCAGTTTGCCTTGCATGTTCACTTTAGTATTAGTTTTCATCATCGGCTTGTGAGGACTGATACAGATTTACAATAGTAATACTTTTTTTTTACTTGTAGCATACTTTCATTCATTTAAGATGGTTTACTTATACATATATCTAATACAAAACGAAAAATTACAATTTTATTTAAAAAAACACACCTTAAAATGCAAATGTATAATTAAATGATGATTCAAAGGATTTTTTTTTCACTCAATACGTAGTTTACAGCTCGCAAGCAGCCTCATACGATTAAATATGGAACTGATAAAATCATAATGTAAACTTAAAAAAATATAAGTAAACAATTGTGTTTGAGCTGGTAAATTTTAATTTTTAATTTTAAAAGACAAAGTAGTTCTACACATTTTTATCAGACAACACATTTAAAAGAATTCTTTTCATAAGAATATCTTAGATTATATTTATTTTATTTTTGATGTACTTAATTTTTTTTCCTTCTACTGATTTTGGAAATTTCTTCCTAAGTTGTTCCCCTTACCATGTTAGCTGTGTACGGTTCTTGTTTAACTATCCTATTAAAACAAGTCTACAAGTCAGGTGACTTGGAGTCGTAAAGTCGCCAATGACTTGCAGGGGAGATTATCCTAGGTATGTCATTTAATTATAATTAGACTAGTGGTTAATTTGTTTTTGCACTTTTTATAGCCTGCTAATTATAGTCTCTGTTTAAACTATGATTATAAATAGCTAGCTAGAACAATTTCATTTGTGACCAACAAAGTTATTAATGCACAATTATTAATTTCTTAATGGCAATGCTATTCTAAAGAGCGGAAGCCTTCCAGATATTTCCATATTTCAGAACACGATACCTAGCAGGAAAAACCGAGTCATACATTTTAGAAAGTAAGCTGTTATATGCAGATTAAGCTCATCAGTTGGAGCGTTTATTTTAAGTGCTACATCTGATGTCAAGTATTAACGTTTTATTTCAACGTCGCATATGGTGCTAAAAGTCGACTCCCATAATTCTATTGATGTATTTTAATCCAGTCAACTCGCCTTAATTGACTTAGTTCTCTTCACTCCTTGTGGAAGATCTTGTCAACATTTGCAGAAATTTGAACGCATACTCTATAAGATCATTATAGTTCAAAGTCCACCGCCTATTAATCTATAATATAAAAGCTTTTTTCCCACTTCCTAATATCTATGTTATATATTGTCTGTATCTAATTATTTTGTTTTATTAAGAAAACAAAAATTCACACAAATACCTGTTGGGATGAACATCAAATGAACAAAGGGAGAGAACCGTTTTAAACTCCATTGAACCAATATTGATCAGCAGTTTATCTCCCCAGTCAAACAGCAACGTTTAAAAAGCTATAATATCGGCGAACAAATAAATCGTTTTATGACTTAGTAGGGGAAGAAAAGTTAATTTAAAACTAATAAACTAATAGCTAGGGATTGTTAGGGAACTCGCTGGCAACGTACACTATTTATTTTCAGTCGAAATTGAACTGGTCGTTGATATTTGGTGTTTATATATATATATATATATATATATATATATATATATATATATATATATATATATATATATATATATATATATATATATATATATATATATATATATATATGTATATGTATATGTATATATATATATATATATATATATATATATATATATATATATATATATATATATATATATATATAGTAGAGGCACACACTATATACACTACACACAAGCAACACATACACAAAACTACTATAATTATATTTGTCTAATATTGTCAGTCATAACTACTCTCTATATTTAGACATAACTTTGACATTCCATGAAGCAATTCAAAACTTAAAGCAGAGATTTCTTACAGTGCTGCCGAGGATAAATGAAAAACAGAAGCAGTATCTAAAAATAGCCACACAAACAAGCAATGGCCGTCTAGCGGTAATCAGCAGAAATAGGACGGTCAGTTCGGCCTTGATGTCACTCGCACATGCGTATGGTAATAGCGGGGCGCGCGTGGGTGGATGGGTGAGTAAATCATGTGGTGTGTGTGAGTCTTTGAAAATATTCCAGCTGTCAGTAAAACTTTGACAGTGTTTATAAAATGTGCTACAGTCAATAAAACTTTGACAGTGTCAACAAATGTTCCTGCAGTCAAGAAACTTTGACAGTGTCTACAAAATCAACCAGTGAAATTTTGACAGTGTTTACAAATCTTCTTGCAGTCAATGAAACTTTGATAGTGTCACTGAACGTTCTTGCAGTCAATGAAACTTTGACAGTGTCAACAAAATGTTATACAGTCAATAAAACTTCGACAGTGTCTACAAAATGTGCTTACTGTCCATGAAACTTTGACAGTGTCAACAAATGTTCTTGCAGTCAATGACACTTTGACAGTGTCTAAAATGTGCAACAAGTCTAATAAACTTTGACATAATCGTTGACCTTTGACATGTATACATGTCGTGTAGGAGCAAGTAAGCAGACGCTTACACTTATGACAAGACTATACCCCAATTATAAACCTGACATTAATTTTTTAAAGTGACGTCATTTCTTTTCTTATCAATATTTTACCCATTGAGTTTGCTATTGTGCTAATTTACGCTTAAAGCTAGGATTAAGGATAGGAATTAAATTAGTTTAAGGTTTTTAATCTGTAATAATGTTTGCTAAACGTCGGTATGGCTAACCGAAGAATGCCGAGGTACTCACGAACTGGACCCGAACCCTCGAGATACCCCAGTCTGTTGAGTCAATGTATGACTCGAGCCTGGCTAAAGGTTATTGACTGGACCACGAGCAACCTCATTTTTCACTAATCTGCGTTGTAAATAAACCGAAGCATCCCCCCTCGCCCACCCCGCCTCCCACTATCAGTTGCAAACATTCGTTTTAAACTGTCAAAAGAATTATTCAACACCAACCGCTCGCCGAAGAGAAAAAAAACACTAACATGTAAACAGTTTCCAATAGTTTTTACACCACGTCACAAAGTAATGAACAGTTTAAAAAACAAAACAAAAAGGAGTTGGAAAGGGGAGACAATGAAGTGGAAAAAATACTCACCATTCTGCTCGGCGGAGTAACTTCCCCTGTTCTTGTTCTTATCATTTCGCCTTAGACTCATTCTGCTACGGCAAGCAATTCGCTCAGAGAAGACCGAGGGCTCCTGAAATACACGAGTCGGTAATGTTAGTATCGTAGGGGAGGTGAAATCTATGATATAAGTATCGTACGGTAGACAATGGTCCAAGTATCGTGCGGGGGTCAATGGTCTTTGATGTAAGTATCGTAGGGGATGCTGAAATCTATGATATAAGTATCGTACGGTAGACAATGGTCTAAGTATCGTGCGGGGGTCAATGGGCTAAGTATCGTACAGGGGTCGATGGTCTAAGTATCGTACAGGGGTCGATGGTCTAAGTATCGTACAGAGGTCGATGGTCTAAGTATCGTACAGAGGTCGATGGTCTAAGTATCGTACAGAGGTCGATGGTCTAAGTATCGGACAGAGGGCGATGGTCTAAGTATCGTACAGGGGTCGATGGTCTAAGTATCGTACAGAGGTCGATGGTCTAAGTATCGTACAGGGGTCGATGGTCTAAGTATCGTACAGGGGTCGATGGTCTAAGTATCGTACAGGGGTCGATGGTCTAAGTATCGTACAGAGGTCGATGGTCTAAGTATCGTACAGAGGTCGATGGTCTAAGTATCGTACAGAGGTCGATGGTCTAAGTATCGGACAGAGGGCGATGGTCTAAGTATCGTACATGGATCGATGGTCTAAGTATCGTACAGGGGTCGATGGTCTAAGTATCGTACAGAGGTCGATGGTCTAAGTATCGTACAGGGGTCGATGGTCTAAGTATCGTACAGGGGTCGATGGTCTAAGTATCGTACAGAGGTCGATGGTCTAAGTATCGTACAGGGGTCGATGGTCTAAGTATCGTACAGGGTTCGATGGTCTAAGTATCGTACAGGGGTCGATGGTCTAAGTATCGTACAGAGGTCGATGGTCTAAGTATCGTACAGGGGTCGATGGTCTAAGTATCGTACAGGGTTCGATGGTCTAAGTATCGTACAGGGGTCGATGGTCTAAGTATCGTACAGAGGTCGATGGTCTAAGTATCGTACAGGGGTCGATGGTCTAAGTATCGTACAGGGGTCGATGGTCTAAGTATCGTACAGGGGTCGATGGTCTAAGTAACGTACAGGGGTCGATGGTCTAAGTATCGTACAGAGGTCGATGCTCTGTGCGTGATAAGAGCTGAGGACAGCGATACTTAATAAGCTTAATGTGCTATTACAAATGGGGAGGGGAGTGGTGGAGTGCGTTGAAAGGGAAAATACCCGTATGTTCTACACGGCTTTTATAGCATGCTACATAGTAGGCCTATAGTGCTACCTCTCTCCATGCACAATGCTACCTCTCTTTCACACCACCACAATGCTACCCCTCTTTTACACTACCACATCGCTACCTCTCTTTCACACACCTCTCATAAAATCCAACTTCAAACTCACAGACACCTCTCATAAAATCGAACAACAAACTCACAGACACCTTACTATATTGCTACATATGTAACAACTTACCATTGTCGAGCCCCTACAACTACGTAAGACAACCATAGCATAACTAGCCTGTTTGCCGTAAACAAAGGGAGACAATTAAACTCTATTAGTCTGAAGGAATTTTTTTCTCATTTCGGCCGCCCCCCGCCCAGCTAATGGAAAATTACGGAATTCTCAATTATCGCACAGGACACCCCGGTGATAGAGTGGAATGGCGTGGTCGAGTCGTCCTCGACACACACGAGGAGGTGGAATAATCAGGTTCAGATTTTGTCAGGTTGAAATAACAGGTAATTATGTTCATATTTTGTCAGGTTAGTAAAGGGAGGTAATCATGTTCATATTTTGTCTGGTTAGTAAAGGGAGGTAATCACGTTAATATTTTGTCAGGTTAGTAAAGGGAGGTAATCATGTTCATATTTTGTCAGGTTAGTAAAGGGAGGTAATCATGTTCATATTTTGGCAGGTTAGTAAAGGGAGGTAATCATGTTCATATTTTGTCAGGTTCGTAAAGGGGGGTAATCATGTTCATATTTTGTCAGGTTAGTAAAGGGAGGTAATCATGTTCATATTTTGTCAGGTTAGTAAAGGGGGTAATTATGTTTATATTTTGTCAGGTTAGTAAAGGGGGTAATTAGGTTAATATTTTGTCAGGTTAGTAAAGGGGGGAGGTAATCATGTTCATATTTTGTCAGGTTAGTAAAGGGGTAATCATGTTCATATTTTGTCATGTTAGTAAAGAGGGGGGTAATTATGTTCATATTTTGTTAGGTTAGTAAAGAGGGGAGTAATTATGTTCATATTTTGTTAGGTTAGTAAAGAGGGGGGTAATTATGTTCATATTTTGTTAGGTTAGTAAAGAGGAGTAATCATGTTCATATTTTGTTAGGTTAGTAAAGGGGGGGGGGGGTAATCATGTTCATATTTTGTCAGGTTAGTGAAGAGGAGTAATCATGTTCATATTTTGTTACGTTTGACTATAAATTCTAATGTTCACAGGTTGGTAAAACACAAATACAGGTTAGATAATTATTAATTTTTGTGTTTATAATATAAAATCTCATGAACAAAGCGTAAAATTAGTTCAGTTGTAGACACCCCGCTGTGCTACTATTAGCCAAAGACAAGAAAGTAGTAGAACAAACATGAACTAATCTGTTTACAAGTTCAACAAATAATTGAATAGGTGAAAAACAAAGTTTTAATTAGCTAAGTGAGCAGGGCTGTACTGAATAGTCAGGGCTTAATGCGTGTTAGAAAATGGAAGATTTTTCTAGAAAAAAAATTCAGAAAACGTGAATAATGCTTTTAAGGAGGACAGCACGAATTGGAATACTAGAGGGGAGAAAAAATGTCAATTTTAAGACATAGTCCTTTAAAGTAGTAGTGATAAAATTTTACATAAAATGTTATTTTGTCGACTATATATATATCATTAGATATGTTTTAAAATTGTATGAAAGCGTGCTTCAAAGGGTATCGGCCTTGTTTAGTTGTAAGCATTCATCATTGTTGTTGATATGAATAAAAATGTGTTACCTTCTTCAGAGTAGCCGTAGAGTCCGTTTAAAATGAAAAAAAAAATAGAAGTCTAAAAAAATCAGAAATTTAATATTTTGAGTTTGAATATTTTGACGTTCAACATCAGAAAATTTGAAAAAGTTTTTGGCTTTTAGGTTACATTTCTAATTATTTAAGTCAACCCAACAATATAAGTTTAAACTACACTATAGTAAAACAAGCATTGATTGCCTAATTTTAATTTTAAGTTAATCTTTAATAAAACAAGCATTGATTGGCTAATTTTAATTTTAAGTTAATCTTTAATAAAACAAACATTGATTGGCTAATTTTAATTTTAAGTTAATCTTTAATAAAACAAGCATTGATTGGCTAATTTTAATTTTAAGTTACTCTTTAGTAACACAAGCATTGATTGGCTATTTCATTGGTCATGATTTCAGTTCCCTAGCCCCCATATGTTTACTAAAAAGTTTCTAGTAAATATTTTAAAATAAATTTATACTTTTAAACGACAATATGACCTATTTTCGACATGTTTGTTTTACCTTTAACAAAATACTAATTGTTTTGGCCTTTTCCCAAATTTTGATTCGTTATCGCAAACATTAAAAACAACAAAAACGTGAAGTCTTTAGAATAGTCCTACAAAACCAGACAGTCGAGTTTAAATAACTTTACACATTTAAAAAAATATTTAGTGGTCCTTTCACACGAGTATTCCCAATGGATGCTATTAGCATTATGTGATTTCTAATTGGCTTTTTGGATCGATGTGGAACTGGGAGCAGGGAAGTGAAGAGAAGCATTTATTTTGTACTTTATTTTAATAGATCATATTGATTAGCAATATGAATAAAACAGATATATTTTTAAAGTGCCGTCTTTATTTTTTAAAAAAATTGTTTTTATTTTTTTCTCGTTAAAATTTAATTTGTATGAAAATATGAAGGGCTAGTAATCATTTGCTCTATATCATAGTTCTTGTTGTTTATTTGAAATATAGATTCTAGGTTTACTAAAGTTTACTTTGGATGTTTGCGATGATGTAACTACACTCTGATAATTGATGTCACAATTTTAAGATGGTGATGACCCTGTTAGTAGTCTGGGACTAGCAAAACGATGTTCAGGGTGGGTGCGGGAGGGAGGGGGGTGGATGTAGGGGGAAAATGTCCCGGGGTTAAAAAATGGATTTTCACAAAACTGATTATACCCCGAAAGAAGATTAAGTGCTTGGAAAGGAAGGGGTGGGGTGGGGTGGGGGGGGGGGTAGGGAGCGTAAGGAGCCGATTTTCTGACTTGAATATTTGAGCAGGAGCCGGCAAATATTGTTGTGACTCTGTTCTACAGCCACCAGACTAAGACCTAGAGCCACCAGCTTCTAAGCTCTAGACTAAGCTCTAGAGCCACCAGCCTCTAAGCTCTAGAGCCACCAGACTAAGCTCTAGAGCCACCAGACTAAGCTCTAGAGCCACCAGACTAAGCTCTAGAGCCACCAGACTAAGCTCTAGAGCCACCAGACTAAGCTCTAGAGCCACCAGACTAAGCTCTAGAGCCACCAGACTAAGCTCTAGAGCCACCAGACTAAGCTCTAGAGCCACAGCCACCAGACTAAGCTCTAGAGCCACCAGACTAAGCTCTAGAGCCACCAGACTAAGCTCTAGAGCCACAGCCACCAGACGAAGCTCTAGAGTCTAGAGCCACCAGCCTCTAAGCTCGATAGCAACCTGACTAAGCTCTGTAGCCACCACCCTTCTGGGGAACCCCTTGCCTAGCACCCAGAAGAGCCCAAAACATAAAGTACAGCACCAATACTAACATTACTGACCAATAAAAACTTGTGTTGTCAAGTGCAACATGGCCACATGTCAAAGGTCAAAGTGAAGGTCAAATGGCAGCTATCATGGCTCGTGGACTAAGAAATCCAGGCGGATCAACTGATAAAGCAGAAATCTGATATCAGAAACGGCTGCTGTTGATACTTGATCGTGTGCACCAAACGTGATCTTTGGCACAAAACGTGATTATGTTGCCGTCACGTGACATTTCAGGCGGTAATTTGACTCTCAC